ATCAGACTTTATTGATTTCTTACTGAATTTCACATTTGTTAAAAATGACAAGACCAAAAAAAGATCGTATTAACAAAAATCATTCAAAAGTTGCTAACTCTAGTATTAGAATTAGGAAATTGATCAAATGTAAATGTACACTACATTGCTATAGTAGTAAATTTGTAGATCCTAGAATATTTGAGAACTATCAGCAAGAAATGGAGCGTTTTCGTAATATTGCTTCTAGAAATCGTAATTCTTTTCGATCAACAAGTACCAAGAACAACCCGATTAATGTAGGATCAACATCAATCTCAAAAGGAAAAGAAAAGTTAATCCAGCTAAACAAGATTATAATTCATCATGTAATTTTTCTAATGATGATGATGATGAACTGATTTCAGTTTATCAGGAGCCAATTGATGTACCAAGGAAATGAAAATGATATGCTAAGTTTTTCGATGCAGATGGAACAGTTTCTGATCATGATGAGTTGGAAACTGTTTTGATTCCTTCAGATGATGAAGAAGGCTTTGAGATACCGGTTAATGATGAAGAATCTTCTACGGAAGAAGATGATCGTAATTTGAGTGAGGAAGATATTTCAGTTGAGCAATTTACTGCTTCCGATTTTGATGAATTTGAGGTTGAATCAGATGATGGATATCCTGATAGGAACATTAACTTTGACGATTTGTAGATATTATTATGGATATTGAAGTACCAAGCAAGATTTCACCTTTCAGATGTTGCAATCGATTCCCTTATCAAGTTTTTTAGGATAGTGTTATTAGACGTTAATCATTCACGATTTAGAGATTTTCCTACAACTTTGTATATGACAAGGAAATTGTTAGGATTAGGTAAACAAGATAAGGCATATGCAGTATGTTCGGATTGTAACACTTTATATAAGGTTTCAGAAATTCTACAATAAAATACCGAGTATAAATGTATACATATAGAATTTCCAAACCATCCGAAGCAAAACTGAAGGTAACCTTGCAGAACACAATTAATGAAACGGATCCTGATTGTTAAGGGATATATCTGGAGACCAAAAATGATCTTTCCTTTGCCATCGTTGAAAGCACAAATAATTGCAATATACCAACGTCCGGGATTTGAATCTTTTTTAAGAAAATGGACTGAACAAGATACCAATAATGGATTGATGTCTGATATTTACGATGGTGAAATTTGGAAAAATTTTTCATCACAACCTAACATGACCGATTCTCAACAATTTTTTATATGAGAAACCGCTGATTCCTATTTAGGAATTATGATTAATCTTGATTAGTTTCAACCTTTTGAGTCTTCATCATATAGCAGCGGTGTAATTTATGGAGTAATTTGCAACCTCCCTCGAGAAATGAGATTCAAACGGGAGAATATGCTATATCTTGAACTACTTCTGGAATCAAATGAGGTTAAACTTCATAAAATAAATCACTATCTTTCTCCAATAGTGGATGAATTATTGGAATTTTGGGATGGAGTTGATTTACCTTTGACTAACGAGCATCCAATCGGTAAGAGAATACGGTTGGCAGTTATATACTGTTCTAATGACATCCTAGCCACAAGAAAACTATGCGGTCATATATCAGCATTGATCAGATGCCATCGATGTTATAAAAGGGCAAACACTGATGGAACAAAACCAAATTTTGGTGGTTTCGATGATATGCCCGAATAGTTTCAAGAATGTGATCTTGAAGAACATCGACAAAATGCCGAAAGATAGAGGCAATGCAAATCTAAGAATGAAAGAAACAAACATGTTTCTGATACTCATATACGCTGGTCAGAAATGCTAAGGTTGCCTTATTTTAATCCAATAAGGCACCTTGTTGTTGATCCAATGCATTGTCTTTTCCTTGGAATTGCACAATGGATAATTAAAAGGTTGTAGGTTGATAGCGGTAAGCTCACCAAATCAGACCTTGAACTAATGGAAAAAAGAGCAAAAGCTATTAAAGTGCCAGCTGATTTGAGAAGAATCCCTAACAAGATTGCTACCAATGAGGGATTTTCTGGTTATACCGCTGATCAATGGAAGTCCTTTATTCTTATTTATGCGACTCCATTGATGTGGGACTTTCTAAGTGCTTCTGATAGAGAAATTTTGGCCAATTTTGTAAGAGTTTACTTTTTACTTACTTGTCGAATTATTGATAATGATGTATTGAGCGAAGCTCACAACCGACTACTTCAAGTGGCTCTTTTAGTTGAAGAACATTATGGATAGGAGATGATAACTCCAAATATTCATTTATTTCTCCATATTGCCGAATGTTATCGTGATTATAGCCCATTATATTCTTTCTGATGCTATTCATTTGAAAGAATGAATGGCATATTAGGTACAGTAGCGGTCATAAGTATCCGACCGCCCGAGATCGTCCAAAATTATTATATAACTACCCCTTAACTTTTCCAGAAATATAATATAACACAATACATGATCACCTGTAAATTTATAAGTGTCGATGATACAAAAAAAAAAATT